TATTTACTCTCCAGATTTTGGCTGTGGGATATGATTGATGACATACCATTTATGAATCGATTTTCCCCTTTAAATCCCAAGATTTTTTCATTTTGATGGCTCGGAGGGGAAAATGGCCCAAGATGAACATTTTGTGAGCAGTAGCAATAGTGGCGGTAGTGGCGGCGGTGGAGGAGCTGCCGGCGCCGGCGCAGGCAACAACAGATCAAAAACCCCGAAGCCGAAAAAGGCCCCACAGAGAGGATTAGGGGTTGCCCAGCTCGAAAAGCTTAGGATAGAGGAACAAAGAAAAAAGGAAGCTTTGCTGGCTGCAAATGTTCTGGCTAATAACGCGATCGGGCCAGGGAACGAGTCCCTTGCGGGCCGGAACATTGGCGGTGGACCAATTCCTAAGTCCCTCAGCCCGGTGGGCCCGGCCCATATGACGAATCAATCAAGTGATGGTGGTGGTGAGGATACTTTGTGGAGTGGAGAGTGTAATAGCAGCTGTCTTGAAGGAGGAGGAATGGAGAAACAAAAGGTTTTTGTTGATAATGCTGGATTTTTGTTTGGTGGTCCCCAAGTTAATGTCAATTTGCGATTCGAGCCGGGAGTCCCGGTTCTGCCTCAGAGGCCGTATCAATTTCAAAGGCCTCCTTCTCAAATGGTTAGTTTGAGTTTGAGGCCCTGTCTTATCAAGAATTGTTGTTGGGCTAAAGTTATCGGTATTTAATTTATAGTTTTTTATATATGGTTGGTTTGAAATTTGAATCCTATATATGTGGATTGTGATATAATCATACCAAGTTCTTGGTGAAATTTTTACTCTGTTGTTGATTGAGTCTTGTACTTGTCAGTGTATCATCATAATAGGTGAATTAGTGAATTCTTGCGAGTTGAAATCTTTATCTTTTGGCTGATTGTAAAACAATTTCAGGTGAATGTGTCTTCACCTATATCAAGTTCTCGAATAGAGCCCCCTTCAATTCAAAATGTTCGTGGTAATAACTATACACCATCGTGGCCTGAGGATGATAAGGTACAACACATTGTTTTTCATTTTCATCCACCGACTGATTTCAAGAAAAAACTAACTGTTCTTTATTTTTTTCTCCCTTACGATCCATTTTTTAATCCACGGGACTTGTTAGCCTAAAGTGATCTTATATACAATAGTGTTTTGAGCATGAAAATACAGAAGTTTGTGAATATTATGTCATGAATTATGGTACTTCCCAAGAAAATGCTATGTGAACATCTCTTATCAAGAAATTAAGTTTATTTATAGTGTTTTTTTCGAAAAATTAAGTTCATTATATTCTGAATGCAATATGTGTAGATTGTTGGCATCAAGAGGTTGTACCCTTTCTCTCTGGAAGGCCCACAAACCCCTTCTTTCCTAGGCGGCAATGTGCAAACTACATACGGTGAATTAGCTTCGTGTAGCAATGAACCAAGAAACAAATACACAAGGTTTGTTTATTTGTTTCACATATGCATATTATTCTTATAACTTCTAAAGATTTTGTTGAACTCTCATTTTTTATGTTTTGGCTCTGCTAATAATTTTTTTTTTGGGTCGATTTTTTTCGTTCTGTAGAGATAGTGCTTCGAACTCAACCCTGTCCGTGCAGAACCCAAGTGAAGATGAGAGGCTAATTGGAGGTTTTCTAAGTTTGGCACCGCCTTCGAACACAAAGAACAAGCATCAGCCGTTGGATTTCTTGGGCCATGATCAAGGGCCGGATTTATCAGATCACAAAAGCTTATCTACTCAGGTATTGCAAAATTTTCTTGAAATTGGGCAGTTTGTTGATTAACACATGCAAATATGAATGAGAAGTGAACCTTTTTTTATTATATGGTAAAAAATGGTGATATTGTTAAGGGGTAATTGTTCTATCTGTGATTCGAAAGACAAGCAGAGCTTTTTCTATAATTTGAAATCGATAAACAATGTAATCATTCATCATCTTTGCTGTGTAAACTGCAAACAACTTCAATAGGAAAACATCAAAAGCAGACAAAGTCACCAGCTTGGATCAAGCTCGTCAAACGAACGGGCTTTCACCTTCTTCCCAATTAAGTCGCAAACAGAGAATTCGAGAAATGGCAATGGGGACAAGGGAGAAAAACTTGATCTCAATCTGAAGCTATAGATTGGTTTTTTACTACTCTTATAATGGACAAACTTGTAATTCTGCAGCTTTAGAAGCTTGCTCGTGTGACTTAACTTGTGTGAAACTATCTTATTTGTTTCTGTTCTATGAGGAAAAAAGAAAAAAAACGGATGATGATTGTTAATCATCATGTTGTTTGGCTTTGTTCTTGTGCTAGGCCTTTTTGGACATGGTGAACGAGAGAATTACAAGAAAACAAGAAAACGTTGTCTTTTTTCTTGTATGGCATTTTAGGATTTAAGCTATTAAACTCCTACTTGTTACAACTATCAACATGTTAAGAGCATCTCCAACGCACCCGGTAAACCCAGCGAAAACGCCTTGCACAGAGAGAATTTATCTCCAACCAAGCTCTGTCCTTTCCGCTATTTTAGAAGG